AGGGTCTTTAGCTAACCGCCTTTGTTGCTAACTGTTCCTATTGCTAATCGTTTCTGGTGCTAACAATTTTTGCTGACTGTTCTGTTGCTAACTAGTCCTGTAGCTAACTGGTTCTGTAGCTAAGAGGTCCTGTTGCTAACTGGTTCTGTAGCTAACTGGTTCTTTGTTGCTACCTGATTCTGTAGCTAACTGATCCTGTTGCTAACTGGTTCTGTAGCTAACTGGTGCTGTAGCTAACTGGTTCTGTTGCTAACTGGTTCTGTAGCTAACAGTCCTGTAGCTAATGGTTCTGTAGCTGACTACTCCTGTTGCTAAGTGGTCCTGTTTCTACCTGGCTCTGTTGCTAACTGGTTCTGCTACTAACAGGGTCTTTAGCTAACCGCACTTTGTTGCTAACTGTTCCTATTGCTAATCGTTTCTGGTGCTAACAATTTTTTGCTAACTGGTTCTGTTGCTAACTAGTCCTGTAGCTAACTGGTTCTGTAGCTAAGAGGTCCTGTTGCTAACTGGTTCTGTAGCTAACTGGTTCTTGTTGCTAACTGATTCTGTAGCTAACTGATCCTGTTGCTAACTGGTTCTGTAGCTAACTGGTGCTGTTGCTAACTGGTTCTGTTGCTAACTGGTTCTGTTGCTAACTGGTCCTGTAGCTAACAGGTCCTGTAGCTAACTGGTTCTGTAGCTGACTTCCCCTGTTGCTAACTGGTCCTATTTCTACCTGGCTCTGTTGCTAACTGGTTCTGCTACTAACAAGTTCTTTAGCTAACCACCTTTGTTGCTAACTGTTCCCATTGCTAATCGTTTCTGGTGCTAACAATTTTTTGCTGACTGGTTCTGTTGCTAACTAGTCCTGTAGCTAACTGGTCCTGTTGCTAACTGGTCCTGTAGCTAACTGGTTCTGTTGCTAACTGGTCCTGTTGCTAACTGGTCTTGTAGCTAACTGGTCCTGTAGCTAACTGGTTCTGTTGCTAACTGGTTCTGTAGCTAACAGGTCCTGTAGCTAACTGGTTCTGTAGCTGACTGCTCCTGTTGCTAAGTGGTCCTGTTTCTACCTGGCTCTGTTGCTAACTGGTTCTGCTACTAATAGGGTCTTTAGCTAACCGCCTTTGTTGCTAACTGTTCCTATTGCTAATCGTTTCTGGTGCTAACAATTTTTTGCTGACTGGTTCTGTTGCTAACTAGTCCTGTAGCTAACTGGTTCTGTAGCTAAGAGGTCCTGTTGCTAACTGGTTCTGTAGCTAACTGGTTCTTGTTGCTAACTGATTCTGTAGCTAACTGATCCTGTTGCTAACTGGTTCTGTAGCTAACTGGTGCTGTAGCTAACTGGTTCTGTTGCTAACTGGTTCTGTAGCTAACAGGTCCTGTAGCTAACTGGTTCTGTAGCTGACTACTCCTGTTGCTAAGTGGTCCTGTTTCTACCTGGCTCTGTTGCTAACTGGTTCTGCTACTAACAGGGTCTTTAGCTAACCGCCTTTGTTGCTAACTGTTCCTATTGCTAATCGTTTCTGGTGCTAACAATTTTTTGCTAACTGGTTCTGTTGCTAACTAGTCCTGTAGCTAACTGGTTCTGTAGCTAAGAGGTCCTGTTGCTAACTGGTTCTGTAGCTAACTGGTTCTTGTTGCTAACTGATTCTGTAGCTAACTGATCCTGTTGCTAACTGGTTCTGTAGCTAACTGGTGCTGTTTGCTAACTGGTTCTGTTGCTAACTGGTTCTGTTGCTAACTGGTCCTGTAGCTAACAGGTCCTGTAGCTAACTGGTTCTGTAGCTGACTTCCCCTGTTGCTAACTGGTCCTATTTCTACCTGGCTCTGTTGCTAACTGGTTCTGCTACTAACAAGTTCTTTAGCTAACCACCTTTGTTGCTAACTGTTCCCATTGCTAATCGTTTCTGGTGCTAACAATTTTTTGCTAACTGGTTCTGTTGCTAACTGGTTCTGTAGCTAACTGATCCTGTAGCTAACAGGTTCTGTAGCTAACAGGTTCTGTAGCTAACAGGTTCTGTAGCTAACAGGTCCTGTAGCTAACTAGTCCTGTTGCTAACTGGTCCTGTAGCTAACTGGTCCTGTAGCTAACTGGTTCTGTAGCTAATTGGTCCTGTAGCTAACTGGTTCTGTAGCTAACAGGTTCTGTAGCTAACAGGTCCTGTAGCTAACCTCTCCTGTTGCTAACTGGTCCTGTTTCTACCTGGCTCTGTAGCTAACTGGTTCTGCTACTAACAGGTTCTTTAGCTAACCGCCTAACAGGTTCTTTAGCTAACTGTTCCTATTGCTAATCGTTTCTGGTGCTAACAATTTTTTTGCTAACTGGTTCTGTGTGGTTAAGTTGCCGTGTGGTTCTTCCCGGTTGGTTCTGGTCCAGAATGAGTCCCTCCTGAGGCAGATGCGGGACATGGAGGAGCGCCACGGGCGCGAGGCGGGCGGCTTCCAGGACACGGTGGCCCGGCTGGAGGCCGAAATCGCCACCATGAAGGACGAGATGGCGCGCCACCTGAGGGAGTACCAGGACCTGCTGAATGTCAAGATGGCGCTGGATGTGGAGATCGCCACCTACAGGAAGCTGCTGGAAGGCGAGGAGAGCAGGTCAGAACCTGCACATAACCTCCAGAACCTTCAGAACCACCCGACTCTAACTACCTCCTCTTCCAGGATCGCGCTGCCCATGCAGAGCTTCTCCACACTGAGCTTCAGAGGTACGTACCGGCTGCCGGTCCCTGAACGCACCACCAGTCCCTGAACGCACCATCTCTCCTGACTGTTTGTTTGAGCAGAAACCAACCCAGAACCGCCGCATCGCTCCGCAGAGACCCACTCCAAGAAAACGGTTCTGATCAAGACCATCGAGACCCGAGACGGAGAGGTAGCACCGATACACACCGCTGGACCGACACACACACCGCTGGACCGACACACACACTGATACACACCGCTGGACCGACACACACTGATACACACCGCTGGACCGACACACACACCGCTGGACCGACACACACACCGCTGGACCGACACACACACTGATACACACCGCTGGACCGACACACACACCGATACACACCGCTGGACCGACACACACACCGATACACATCGCTGGACCGATACACACCGCTGGACTGACACACACACCGATACACACAATGACCTCCCAGGTTGCTCTGTGGCCTATTCAAAACATTTAGTGGTTGGGTTGAAGATGTTCGGGAAGTAAAACTACAAGTGAATTTATGTTAGATTCTCTTTCATTGATGAGTGGATCGGCTTTAAAACCGATCGTCTGTATCGATCGGCACTGGAAGCAGGTCAGGTTGATTTTCTGTTAGTTCTGCTCTAAATGTTTAAACGACGTTTTTCCTTCCTGCTCTCAGTTTTTCATCTGGATTCAGGATTTAAAGATTCCTTTGTTACGCAGACCAACGGCTCAGAAAAACTAAACGAAGCATAAAGTAGAAAATCCCTCCCTGTTGCCGTAGTTTTTCTGTCAGAACAAATGAAGTCAGCATCAGCTTTAGCATTAGCATTAGCGTTAGCTTTAGCATTAGCTTTAGCAGAGCTGTTCCTGACTTGAGTTTGTGTCCCCAGGTGGTTAGCGAGTCGACGCAGCACCAGCAGGACATCATGTGAGGATCTGCAGACGACACGACGCTCCGCAGCAATCTGACCAACTCAAACTAATCCAGCTGAACTAAATGGAGCGCTAGCATTAGCATTAGCCTGTGCTGATTTCATCCTGCAGTGAATCGATTCATTTATCTCCAACCCTCTGAGAAACTGCAGCAGATAAACGTCAGGAACATCAGGTCTCCACTTATCATCAGAAAGTTATCATCATATCAGATTCCAATATGTGATCATTATAGGAAAAGGATGAAATGATTGCTGGAGATATTAGCCTCAAATAATAATTCATCCTAACTACTTTATGTCATTGTATTTAATCATGGATGGAAATGTGATCATTAAACTGACAACTAAACATGATCATTTATGGAGCATCAAAACTGCCACAATTCATCCATTTCTTAAAATATGTTAACATCTTTTAACAAGATACAATTTTTAAAAATTGAGACATTTTAAATGTGTCAATAACGGAAGAATATAAACATTTGATTCAACAGTTAATTATTTCTAAAACTTCATTATTTAATATTTCATGAAATGCATAAAACTGACACTAACTTCTGATTGGTTGACCTGACTAGCAACACAAGCACGGACCAATCACCATGCGCAGAGCAGAGTTAGCCCCGCCCACTGACTGTCAAAAAATTAAACTCCTGATTAATGACAAGAAATAATTACCATAAAAATGGTTGCAATTATTTATTCTTTTAACATGTAACAAACTTTATAAATTATTGTTCTGTTTTTAAAAATCAGTGATAAATACAGACAGTCATTTTTTAAATTGATTACATTTACAAACGTATTTATGAACTAAATTTTTCCTCTATTAAAATAATTCTTTAGACATTAATTTACTTAAATTGATTAAAGATTTCACATTTGTATTGTTGTTTTGATAAAGTATTTGGAATATGAATTCAACCAGTTGTTGCATTTCTGATGTTTAAAATTTCGCTGCATTAATATTACAGGACTTTAACGAGCTGAAGATGAAATATGATCAGAACTGATGATTTTATGATGCTGATCGTCAGACGATGATAAAATGATTTGAATGTTTTTATTGTTTTAACAGAGCAGGAACACATGCTTTAATTATGACCAGTCTTTAGAAACATGATGACTTTAAACTGCTGAGCAAAATAAATAAAACTCCAAATAAATAAATAAATACAGCATGTCTTCATTCCTGTTGGACATTAAAATAAGTGCAGAGTGATTCTGTACAGGTTTCCTGCTTGTTGCCGATCGCAGCAGGAAACTAAACGCATCACTTCCTGTACACGGTTCTCCTCTAAAAACAAGTTTCACATTTTACCAGACATGTTACATCATCCTAAATAAAGAAAACACCATGGAGGAACCAGACGGTCTTTCACCCGTTCACACCGGCACCTCAGGCTGGATCAGAACCAAAGAGGCTAACGCTAGCTTTATGTTAGCTTCTTATTAGCAGAAGGTACACACAGATATATCTATGTTCATGGGCTAATTGGACAAACTAATGTGTAATGTAGCACATTAGCATTGTGCTACATTACACATTAGTTTATGTGGCCGGTAAACTTTCAGTGAAATAAAGTTTTGGAATCTGTGTAAAAGTTTTGTTTACATGAATCAATTTCAACTCAATCTTTTAATGTAAAAAGTAAATAGCTCCAACATTCAAAATGGCTGCCATGCTAGATGCTGCAGTGTTAGCAGTTCAGTACTCAAGATGTTTTTTCTAAAATCCAGTTCAGACTTTAGCTTCCGCTAAGACGGTTCCACTTGACGTCTGAATGGATGTTGAGGTGAGTTTGGTGTTTGCATGATGAAACAAAAAGATAAACATGTTTTTAGAGGAACTTCAGCTGTTTGAGGCGGCGCTGGTCCCACACCAAACGGGTTTCTGAAACCAGTTTCCAGGTGTTAGGGAGGTACCGGTGTAAACAGAACACTCTCTGTGGGAAACAACTAAACCCGGTTTGGTATTGCAATGGGTACCAAAGAGAAGCGTCCAACTGAGCAATTGGGTTGGCTGACCTGGCAGTCCAAGGAGAGGCGAGGCAGTTTGACACGACAGCAGAGTTCTGTCCAGCACCAGGGGAGACCAAGAGAGTCCAAGGGAGACCAGGGGAGACCAAGAGAGTCCAAGAAAGTCCAAAGGAGACCAGGGGAGTCAAAGGGAAACCAAGGGAGACCAAGGGAGACCAGGGGAGACCAAGGGAGTCCAAGAAAGTCCAAGGGAGACCAGGGGAGTCCAAGGGAGTCCCCTCCATTACACAGAAAATGTCTCTTCTGGTTTCACAGAAGGTCATCGTGGTCCAGATTGCACAAAGAAAACACGTTCAGTCGGTGTTGAGCTGTTCTTTCCTGGTCAAGCTCAATGATTTGTTTGAGCCGGTTGCTTCTGCAGAACTAATGGACAAGTTGAATGGTGACCCAGAGATGGATGGTGACCCGGATCTTTGACCAATCTGGTGTTAGAACCTGAGCTGGGTTCACAGTGGAACCACTGGAGTTGATGTCTGAAGATGGAGACAGAAAGCTCACAACCGGGTCACTGGGTTCCTTCAGGGTTGGAGTCGTGGTGTGTGTGTGTGTGTGTGTTTATCGTCTGCATGCATCACAAAGTCAGTGGCTAGCTTAGCTCCTTAGCTACAGCAAGCCCAGCTCATCTGTCAAGACTTTGCAGATTGTCCCTGCCGGGTCAGAGGTCAACACCAGGAGGTTGCCTGTCAATCCGGTGGTCGGTGGCTGTAGGCCGTTCCTCCTGATCAGGCCTGTGAGGGATCAGAGGTCAGGCCCGGAGAGGCGGCCCCGCGGCCCCGGTGAGGGGCGTCGTGGAGCTGCAGTCGTAGCCCATCTCCACCACAGCGTGAGCGCCTCCTACCAGCCGGCCAGGGAAGGGCTGCGCCTGAACCTGCCGGTCCCGGAAACTCTGGATGTAACTCTGGAAGGAAACAAAGAGACGGTTGAGACTGGGAGACTCTCCACCATCCGCCGGGACACAGACGGCGCGACGCTGGCTACCGGCGACAGGACGTCGGTGTCGTAGCGGCGGATGGGGTTGGGCTTGCGGCGGTAGGCGGGCTCGGTGTTGAGCTGCTTGGCCTGGTTGTGGTGGGAAGAGCCATGTTGCTGCTTCTTCTTCTTCTTGTTGCGGTAGCGGTCGTCTCGTTGACGAATCCGCATCACCTGCATCCTTCGCTGCTGGCGGCTGATGATCACTGAGGACAGACAGGAAGTGTCGCAAACATCAGGGCGCGGCGCCTGGCGGCCGGCGCCCGGGTCAGGTTGGGTTTCCTCACCTTTGGTGTGGGAGTATCCCTCGGCGGTTACCTTCCACTGAACTATGACCCCCAGCAGGGTGAGGGACGGCCACACCCCCAGCACCAGCCAGGTCATCCAACACACCGGCTTCCCCGGCTCCACCTTGATCCGCTCGTAGATGTAGAGCAGCAGCGCAAACAGCTCCAGGAAGTAGTCCAGGGCCACGGTGATGACGGCGGCGCCGAACGCAGCGGTGGACAGCGTGGTGAAGAGGCGCTGCCACTGCAGCGTCAGCACGGCGAACAGCATGCCGAGGCCCAGCAGCACGCCCAGCGGCACCCAGACGGAGCGCGACGGGGCCTGGGACAGCTCCGCCATACCCACCAGGGTGGCCACGCCCACCAGCAGCCCCAGCAGCAGCCCCACCATGAACAGCCCCACGCTGCGCACCAGCATGGTGACCAGGCCGCACAGCGTGCCGACGCCCAGCCCGATGCCCACCGAGGCCTCCACGCTCAGCTGGGTGTCCAGGACGCGCTCCTTGTAGCACAGCATGAAGATGACCACGGAACCGAACATCAGGCCCGTCAGGAACATCACCGCCTTGAAGCAGCGGTAACCTGCGGGAACGCAGGAGGGTCACAACCAAGATGGAGGTCGAAGGCAGGAACCGGTCAGGTTCCGGTCGGATCCATCAGAACTCACCGAAGAAGCAGTAGATGATGCCGAAGAGGCAGCACATGGAGCAGACCACAGAGGGGACCACCGAGTAGCGGCCCCCGGGGTCCAGGCAGGCGTCCTGCTGGGCGTCCTGCTGGACGTCCGGCCAGCCGGACCGCGGCTCCAGCAGCGTCGTCTCCAGCGTGGTCGCCATGGCAATGAGGAGCAGGTCAGGAGGTCAGAGAGCGGCGCTCAGGTGAACGATTTCACCTGCAGAGACGGACAAGAGAAACAAAGGAGAAAGATTAAAGAACAAAGAGAAACTAAACTCAGAAGACATGCAGAGAGAACGGAGACATCAGGAGACATCCAGAGAGATCCGGACAGATCCAGAGAGATCCAGACAGATCCAGAGAGATCTGGACAGATCCAGACAGATTTGGACAGATCCAGACAGATCCGGACAGATCCAGAGAGATCCGGACAGATCCAGAGAGATCCGGACAGATCCAGAGAGATCCGGACAGATCCAGAGAGATCCAGACAGATCCAGAGAGATCTGGACAGATCCAGACAGATTTGGACAGATCCAGACAGATCTGGACAGATCCAGAGAGATCTGGACAGATCCAGAGAGATCCGGACAGATCCAGAGAGATCCGGACAGATCCAGAGAGATCCGGACAGATCCAGACAGATCTGGACAGATCCAGACAGATCTGGACAGATCCAGACAGATCCGGACAGATCCAGAGAGATCCGGACAGATCCAGAGAGATCCGGACAGATCCAGAGAGATCCGGACAGATCCAGAGAGATCTGGACAGATCCAGACAGATTTGGACAGATCCAGACAGATCTGGACAGATCCAGAGAGATCCAGACAGATCCAGAGAGATCTGGACAGATCCAGAGAGATCTGGACAGATCCAGACAGATTTGGACAGATCCAGACAGATCTGGACAGATCCAGAGAGATCTGGACAGATCCAGACAGATCCAGAGAGATCCAGAGAGATCCAGACAGATCCAGAGAGAACGTCCTCATATTTAATGACGAGACCAGAGGTGGGGCTTGAAGCCCAAAGCTTTGTTGCGCTGTACAAACTGACCTTGTGTGAAATGGAAGGTCGTCATCAGACCCTGTGGGTTTTCAGTTCCTGGATCTGCTGGGGCTTGAATTTCTTTTCATTTCTCGTTTTCATGCGTTGCCGCGTCCAGGCCGGACAGTTCTGGGACAGAGCAACAGGTTCTGCTCGCTGGCTCTTTCAGGCTGAGACGTTCACATAAAACCAGGACGCCACTTGATCTACCTTCTTCCCCCAGCAGCAGTTTCGCCTGCAGACGGAATTTGGCGCAGCGGATCTTTACAATCCATCGTCTTTTTAAGTCAGGATCGATTGCAGATCCATGAAAACTGAAATAGTAATTATATTTGGAAGACGCTCTGTTGCAACGCCACAGAGTTCATGGAGTTGCTGAAATTGCTGTTGAAATGCAATCAGCGTCACTCAAAGTGGAAACAACGAGCCGCATTTCCATGAAGACGTGATGTCATCACAAAGAGTCCAATCAGGCTGCTGCATGCCTATAGAGCCCCAACATGGCAACCTGTCAACTCAACATGGCAACCTGTCAACTCAACATGGCAACCTGTCAACTCAACATGGCAACCTGTCAACTCAACATGGCAACCTGTCAACTCAACATGGCAACCTGTCAACTCATCATGGCAACCTGTCAACTCTACATGGCAACCTGTCAACTCAACATGGCAACCTGTCAACTCAACATGGCAACCTGTCAACTCATCATGGCAACCTGTCAACTCATCATGGCAACCTGTCAACTCAACATGGCAACCTGTCAACTCAACATGGCAACCTGTCAACTCAACATGGCAACCTGTCAACTCAACATGGCAACCTGCCAACTCAACATGGCAACCTGTCAACTCAACATGGCAACCTGTCAACTCTACATGGCAACCTGTCAACTCAACATGGCAACCTGTCAACTCAACATGGCAACCTGTCAACTAAACATGGCAACCTGTCAACTCAACTCATCATGGCAACCTGTCAACTCAACATGGCAACCTGTCAACTCAACATGGCAACCTGTCAACTCAACATGGCAACCTGTCAACTCAACATGGCAACCTGTCAACTCAACATGGCAACCTGTCAACTCAACTCAACATGGCAACCTGTCAACTCAACATGGCAACCTGTCAACTCAACTCAACATGGCAACCTGTCAACTCAACATGGCAACCTGTCAACTCAACATGGCAACCTGTCAACTCATCATGGCAACCTGTCAACTCAACATGGCAACCTGTCAACTCATCATGGCAACCTGTCAACTCATCATGGCAACCTGTCAACTCATCATGGCAACCTGTCAACTCAACATGGCAACCTGTCAACTCAACATGGCAACCTGTTAACTCAACATGGCAACCTGTCAACTCATCATGGCAACCTGTCAACTCATCATGGCAACCTGTCAACTCATCATGGCAACCTGTCAACTCAACATGGCAACCTGTCAACTCAACATGGCAACCTGTCAACTCATCATGGCAACCTGTCAACTCAACATGGCAACCTGTCAACTCAACATGGCAACCTGTCAACTCATCATGGCAACCTGTCAACTCATCATGGCAACCTGTCAACTCAACATGGCAACCTGTCAACTCAACATGGCAACCTGTCAACTCATCATGGCAACCTGTCAACTCAACATGGCAACCTGTCAACTCAACATGGCAACCTGTCAACTCAACATGGCAACCTGTCAACTCATCATGGCAACCTGTTAACTCAACATGGCAACCTGTCAACTCAACATGGCAACCTGTCAACTCAACATGGCAACCTGTCAACTCAACATGGCAACCTGTCAACTCAACATGGCAACCTGTCAACTCATCATGGCAACCTGTCAACTCATCATGGCAACCTGTCAACTCATCATGGCAACCTGTCAACTCATCATGGCAACCTGTCAACTCAACATGGCAACCTGTCAACTCAACTCAACATGGCAACCTGTCAACTCATCATGGCAACCTGTCAACTCAACATGGCAACCTGTCAACTCAACTCAACATGGCAACCTGTCAACTCATCATGGCAACCTGTCAACTCATCATGGCAACCTGTCAACTCAACATGGCAACCTGTCAACTCAACATGGCAACCTGTCAACTCAACATGGCAACCTGTCAACTCAACATGGCAACCTGTCAACTCAACTCAACATGGCAACCTGTCAACTCATCATGGCAACCTGTCAACTCAACATGGCAACCTGTCAACTCAACATGGCAACCTGTCAACTCAACATGGCAACCTGTCAACTCAACATGGCAACCTGTCAACTCAACTCAACATGGCAACCTGTCAACTCATCATGGCAACCTGTCAACTCAACATGGCAACCTGTCAACTCAACATGGCAACCTGTCAACTCAACATGGCAACCTGTCAACTCAACATGGCAACCTGTCAACTCATCATGGCAACCTGTCAACTCAACATGGCAACCTGTCAACTCATCATGGCAACCTGTCAACTCATCATGGCAACCTGTCAACTCAACTCAACATGGCAACCTGTCAACTCATCATGGCAACCTGTCAACTCAACATGGCAACCTGTCAACTCAACATGGCAACCTGTCAACTCAACATGGCAACCTGTCAACTCAACATGGCAACCTGTCAACTCATCATGGCAACCTGTCAACTCAACATGGCAACCTGTCAACTAAACATGGCAACCTGTCAACTCAACATGGCAACCTGTCAACTCAACATGGCAACCTGTCAACTCAACATGGCAACCTCTCAACTCAACATGGCAACCTGTCAACTCATCATGGCAACCTGTCAACTCAACATGGCAACCTGTCAACTCAACATGGCAACCTGTCAACTAAACATAGCAACCTGTCAAATCAACATGGCAACCTGTCAACTAAACATGGCAACCTGTCAACTCAACATGGCAACCTGTCAACTCAACATGGCAACCTGTCAACTCAACATGGCAACCTGTCAACTCAACATGGCAACCTGTCAAATCAACATGGCAACCTGTCAACTCATCATGGCAACCTGTCAACTAAACATGGCAACCTGTCAACTCAACATGGCAACCTGTCAACTCATCATGGCAACCTGTCAACTAAACATGGCAACCTGTCAACTCAACATGGCAACCTGTCAACTCAACATGGCAACCTGTCAACTCAACATGGCAACCTGCCAACTCAACATGGCAACCTGTCAACTCAACATGGCAACCTGTCAACTCATCATGGCAACCTGTCAACTCAACATGGCAACCTGTCAACTCATCATGGCAACCTGTCAACTCATCATGGCAACCTGTCAACTCAACATGGCAACCTGTCAACTCAACATGGCAACCTGTCAACTCAACATGGCAACCTGTCAACTCAACATGGCAACCTGTCAACTCAACATGGCAACCTGTCAACTCAACATGGCAACCTGTTAACTCAACATGGCAACCTGTCAACTAAACATGGCAACCTGTTAACTCAACATGGCAACCTGTCAACTCAACATGGCAACCTGTCAACTCAACATGGCAACCTGTCAACTCAACATGGCAACCTGTCAACTCAACATGGCAACCTGTCAACTCAACTCAACATGGCAACCTGTCAACTCAACATGGCAACCTGTCAACTCATCATGGCAACCTGTCAACTCATCATGGCAACCTGTCAACTCAACATGGCAACCTGTCAACTCAACATGGCAACCTGTCAACTCTACATGGCAACCTGTCAACTCAACATGGCAACCTGTCAACTCAACATGGCAACCTGTCAACTAAACATGGCAACCTGTCAACTCAACTCATCATGGCAACCTGTCAACTCAACATGGCAACCTGTCAACTCAACATGGCAACCTGTCAACTCAACATGGCAACCTGTCAACTCAACATGGCAACCTGTCAACTCAACATGGCAACCTGTCAACTCAACATGGCAACCTGTCAACTCAACTCAACATGGCAACCTGTCAACTCAACATGGCAACCTGTCAACTCAACTCAACATGGCAACCTGTCAACTCAACATGGCAACCTGTCAACTCAACATGGCAACCTGTCAACTCAACATGGCAACCTGTCAACTCATCATGGCAACCTGTCAACTCATCATGGCAACCTGTCAACTCATCATGGCAACCTGTCAACTCAACATGGCAACCTGTCAACTCAACTCAACATGGCAACCTGTCAACTCAACATGGCAACCTGTCAACTCAACATGGCAACCTGTCAACTCATCATGGCAACCTGTCAACTCAACTCAACATGGCAACCTGTCAACTCAACTCAACATGGCAACCTGTCAACTCAACATGGCAACCTGTCAACTCAACATGGCAACCTGTCAACTCATCATGGCAACCTGTCAACTCATCATGGCAACCTGTCAACATCATGGCAACCTGTCAACTCAACATGGCAACCTGTCAACTCAACTCAACATGGCAACCTGTCAACTCAACATGGCAACCTGTTAACTCAACATGGCAACCTGTCAACTCATCATGGCAACCTGTCAACTCATCATGGCAACCTGTCAACTCAACATGGCAACCTGTCAACTCAACATGGCAACCTGTCAACTCATCATGGCAACCTGTCAACTCAACATGGCAACCTGTCAACTCAACATGGCAACCTGTCAACTCATCATGGCAACCTGTCAACTCATCATGGCAACCTGTCAACTCAACATGGCAACCTGTCAACTCAACATGGCAACCTGTCAACTCATCATGGCAACCTGTCAACTCAACATGGCAACCTGTCAACTCAACATGGCAACCTGTCAACTCAACATGGCAACCTGTCAACTCATCATGGCAACCTGTTAACTCAACATGGCAACCTGTCAACTCAACATGGCAACCTGTCAACTCAACATGGCAACCTGTCAACTCAACATGGCAACCTGTCAACTCAACATGGCAACCTGTCAACTCATCATGGCAACCTGTCAACTCATCATGGCAACCTGTCAACTCATCATGGCAACCTGTCAACTCATCATGGCAACCTGTCAACTCATCATGGCAACCTGTCAACTCATCATGGCAACCTGTCAACTCAACATGGCAACCTGTCAACTCAACATGGCAACCTGTCAACTCAACATGGCAACCTGTCAACTCAACATGGCAACCTGTCAACTCAACTCAACATGGCAACCTGTCAACTCATCATGGCAACCTGTCAACTCAACATGGCAACCTGTCAACTCAACATGGCAACCTGTCAACTCAACATGGCAACCTGTCAACTCAACATGGCAACCTGTCAACTCAACTCAACATGGCAACCTGTCAACTCATCATGGCAACCTGTCAACTCAACATGGCAACCTGTCAACTCAACATGGCAACCTGTCAACTCAACATGGCAACCTGTCAACTCAACATGGCAACCTGTCAACTCATCATGGCAACCTGTCAACTCAACATGGCAACCTGTCAACTCATCATGGCAACCTGTCAACTCATCATGGCAACCTGTCAACTCAACTCAACATGGCAACCTGTCAACTCATCATGGCAACCTGTCAACTCAACATGGCAACCTGTCAACTCAACATGGCAACCTGTCAACTCAACATGGCAACCTGTCAACTCAACATGGCAACCTGTCAACTCATCATGGCAACCTGTCAACTCAACATGGCAA